ATCAGAGTTCTGGCCGGTGACTAAACAGAGACATTCAGCCTGTGTTATGGCTGCCAGCAGGGACAGTAGGCAAAGCGGAGTAGGCGGGGGAAGGAGGAGACAGGGAAACATGATCTTAGGAGGAATGTTAAATAGGCTCATGGAGCTGGAAGGCTGCTGGAGCAAGTGTGGCTCCTTAATGGAGTTATGCCCATTAGAAAGGAAAACTGGGAAACTAACAGGGGATACTTGTAGGGAGCGTTCATGACATGTGTAACTTCATAAGCAGCTAGGCCATGGGTCCAGCAGAGCCAGAAGAAAGGTTGAAGGTTAAAGGAAGGTATGAGGTCTGAGTCATAGCAATGGCCAGATTGACCCCAGCTGGGCTGCTGCTCTCTCTCTAATATGGGGATACATGGATGGCTTTTCTGCCCCGCCCCCCACAGGCAGAGCAGAACATTACAAACCTCCCAGCAGGAACCATAGAGACTGAGAGCAAGGTCAGCTCAATTGTGACCCTCTCTCTTGCCCCCAAGCCAGTTACTTTTCACCTTGCCCGAGCCAGCCCTGCACTAGTCCACTGTTTGCATGCGACCATACAGACTCAGGCAGAGCCTTGGAAGGAAGCAATCCACATATCACACACCTCAGGGGCCACTTTTGCAGCCAAATATTTTCTACCTTCAAAAGTGTAGATAGTGCTCAAGCAGAAAGGATCTTTTAAGAGTATTAAACCTAGGGTTTCTCAAGTGTTACCAGAGAAACTTCTGCATCAGCATCATCTGTGGAGCCTGATTAAAATGCAGATTATCTGGTCCCATCCCAGACCCACTTAATTACACTGTCTAGGGGTGAAGCCCAAGAAGCTGCATGTTAAACTCCCAAGAGATTTTTATGTACCCTGAAACTTGAGAACCTCTGACAAATGTCAGAGCTCTGTGTGGTCAGTCACCCAAGATTCCCAAGGTAAAATCTGAAGACCTCTTACCACAGAATCATTTGAAGTGCCTATAGAAAATTCAGATTTCTGGGTCTCTTCTTAACTCTTCTGAATCAGAATTTCTTATGTGTGATAAAATTTGAGAAACCCAATTCCTTCATTGTACAGATACAGGAACTGGCCCAGAGAGAAGTGACTTGCCCAAGGTTGTCAGTCTAGATGGTGGCAGAGCTAGGGTCACATCCAAGTCTCCAGACAAGTCTAAACAGTATGTCCCTGTGGTTACCTCTTGAGGATTGTTTATGTCTCAGTTTAGCTCTCATGGCCACAAGTTCCCTTACTTATAAAGTCTGGAGTTCAAGGGCAAAAATGCAAGTGCTCTGGGTAGTTGCATGGCAATAGGTCAAAACTTCTCCAAAGTGTTGGGTAGAACAGCTTGAAAATAAGGTATTGTAAGGTCACAATGCTCTATTATAAGCAGCAAGGTACTTCAGGCTCTTCTCCAAATGGAGTTTCAAGGGACTCCAGTACGGATAGTTTCATATGCAGGGAAACTGTCAACCGTGTCTTTGAGCCAAATGGAACACAAACACCAAAATGGCCTGCCTGTAGAAGTTTACTAGACCTATTTTTGTGTTGTTGTTTTTGTAGGTGAAATACATACCAATCAAGTAAAAGCTTAAACGTATGCAGTTTTGTGTCAGATCTGGTTCAGGCTCACTAGTCTGATTTCTGAAGTCTGTGCATTTGAGGTCCCAGCTCAGTCTGCTTTATCTCCAGACTGGCATGCTTTACCCCATGATCTGCTGGGACAATCTAATAGAAGGCCACTGACCTCTAAAAGGAGAGCAATTTCCAAAATGATAAGACAAGATAGATTTTCTTAGAGGGATTAAGCAATTGCCATTGACAACAGCGCCGTTGTATAATTTGCATTGGGCAAATGCTTACAATTTTAGCAAGTGTTTCACCAATGTTACATAATTAGAAAAATTAATGCTCTGCCACCCTGAATACATACTTCTGTAAAGAAACAGGAGACCTTGACAGATAGTCTGGAACTGCTGAGGGTCAAAGGAAAGGGCAGAAAGCAGGAACAGAGAAGTTATAGTCATACTTTCCAACCAACAGGGGAGCTTGGTAGAGAGAGCCATATCCCTTATCTTCAACTCTGAAATCAAAAAGCTCTGTAAAATGGAAGATATTTTTTCATTAATTTGGTGTCAAATCTGACCTAAACTGACATAAACCTAGTCTTGATCTCTTTTAGTATGACTATTTAGACATTTATTTTCCTGCAGAAATGTTAATTGCCTAATTACAGGATGTTTTCCCAGATACAACTGGGAGTGTTATATAATAAGCAGTACATATTCCGTGTTACCTTTCAAAAATTCAAAAAAAATTAAATTCTAAAACACAGTCAGATAACAGACTGCAGACCTAGAAAAATGATAGCTAACATTTATGAAGCCCGTGCCATCTGCACGAAGCTGTGCTAATCTCTTTTCATCTCATTTAATACTTACAACACTATGAGGAAGGTATTAAAATCACCTCCATTTTATTTTAGTTTTTAAATTTTTTTTAACGTTTATTTATTTTTGAGACAGAGAGAGACAGAGCATGAACGGGGGAGGGTCAGAGAGAGGGAGACACAGAATCTGAAACAGGCTCCAGGCCCTGAGCTATCAGCACAGAGCCCAACGCGGGGCTCGAACTCACGGACCGCGAGATCATGACCTGAGCCGAAGTCGGCCGCTTAACCGACTGAGCCACCCAGGCGCCCCAAAATCACCTCCATTTTAAAGTTTGGAAATGGATTCTCAGAGAGGTTAAATAACGTTCCAGAGTCACGCAACTTTTGGCCAAGCCAGGATTTGGACCCAGGTCAGTCTAACTCTAGAACCTACATGCTAAACTCTTGCAGTCTACTGTCTGAGAGAGAGGAACAGTTGTAAAGAACAGTGTGAGCTCTATGGGCTTTATGCAGAAGTACAGTAGGTTACCACCTATTCTATGTCATTTGAATGCCTCCTACTTCCAAATGTGTCCTCTCCCCATTCTTACTCTTCTATGATGCTATAATATGGATTTATTCCTTGAGGTTCATCTGGGTGGCTTTTCTCACAGGGACTACCAACACCAGAAATCCTCTGGGCAGCTTGTTAAAGTACAGATTCCTGGTACCTACCCCAGACCTATTGAATAGAAGACCATCGAATAGGAATTGTTGGGGATTAAGACCAAGTTGATTCTTATGCACATTAAAATTTGAGGAAAAAGGGAATGCCTTGAGAAAGGCCAATCATTAACCCTCATTAATTAATTAACTAACATCTTACCTTTCAATTGACACCTAGCTAGACTGGCAGCAATAAACTCATGGATGGGCACCTGGAAAATAGAAAGACTAGATTGGTGAGTTATGGAAAGAAAGAAGGAAAGAATATGACAGTATCTCCCTACTTTTGCAATATGCGATAAAGGAAGAGCCTCACCAACGGTATTGTTACCTGCATTGAAAAAATTGGGGGAGCATCTGTCTCTGTCTCTCTCTGTCTCTCTCTTTCTCTCTGCCACTCAGAGTACCTATCTACTGTCTCATTGATATTCACCCCACCCTTCTGAAATAGACAAGATAGTCATCCTCATTAGATGAAAGAGGAAATGGAGACCCAAATGAGTTCTTCTGTGTCATCCAACTGATTAATGCTAGTCTTTGCTTAAGTTTCTGGCCACCAATCTTACACAATTTCAGTCTTCCAATAATCTCTTCCATAGATCGAGAGAGGAGAAGCCATCAAACCTAAAGAAATCAAGTTTTACATTCAAGGATACACATTTTTGCCCTCTAGTGGCCGATTTTGATACAATTAAATGGTGTGCTACACAAGGGAAGGACCATGAGAGGAATTATGCTGCACAATAGTTCAACTGATATGCCATATGTTTGGGGTTAGTTTTTAACTTTAATGGGTTGCTTTATTCTTATTATCAATGCAAGGATAACTGCTAAACATTTTGATCTTTATACTTCTATGAATGCTCTGTTCTTGTTTACTAAGTTTCCAACTTCACCTCTTCATCTTGCCTGTGGCGGCTTAATCATCTCCATGACAACCAAATGTGACCTTAGATAAGGACTAGGAATCTAGAAAAATATGGATTAACTGCCACTGCAGCAATCAGATCGCCACAGCAATGCAGGATTGGGGCGTTGAGGTTCAAGTCCAACCAGTGATTATTCCAATGAGGACTCAATCCTCTCTAGAGAAGCTTTTCTCTCAAATTTCAATGCACATTTGAATCACCTGGCAAATCGGTTTAAGTGGAATACTAATTCAGTAGGTCTGGGGTGGGGCCTAAGAGCCTGCATTTCTAACGGTCTCCCTGGTGATGCTTATGGTACTGGTTTCCAGATCACATTTTATATAGCAAGGGGCACGAGCCCTCATCATGCCCAAGTAGCTTGTACAAATGAACACATTTGTGGTCCTGGAGGAAGTGCTGTTTCACACAGCGGTACTGATGAGCATGCAGCTCTGATATTATGTACTTGTGTGACCTTGGGTAAACATCTTTACCTTTCTGGGTCTCTGTTTTCTCATTCATGAAATTCTGAGTTTGCCCTGGATAACCTCTAAGATCACTTTGGGTTGTAAAATTCTTTGATTCGCTGATAAAAAAGAGGTACTTGAGAATCAAAGGCTTAGTTTGAGGGCAAATTTACCCTATATTGTATACAAGGGGTGGGTGGGGAGAGAAATCTACTGTGACTTTTGTATTCGTCTTCTTAATTCCAAATCCTCTATGTGTCTTAAGGTAATTTGTCACTTCTGAATGTGCAGAACATTGACATTCTCCATGAGAAGAGACAACATTGAGTAGTGGACAACAATTTTGGCATCTCTCCAGTTCAGCTCTCAGTGTCCCCTTGTGACTGCTTCATAGCCAGCAGTTTTGGCTACTTGCTTCTGATACTATCTTTCTGATAACAGAGGAAACCCTACTGTCCGCCCATTGGTTTCAAATACTGGCACTCAGTTCTCCTTAGTCTCACTTGATTCCAGAAGATACAATGGAGAAGTACACAGAAACACCACCTAGCTTGCAGGTAGAGCATTCCTCTCTTCAGGAAGAAAATCTGTTTCTGCAGCCACAAATACAGCATCTGACAGAAGAGAACCCTGAACTGAGGGGCCAAATCATGCCTGCCCTGGCCACCCCGTTGATGTCTGTACCCTGCTCACTTGAGCATCTCTCTCAGTTTCATGGTGACCCTGACAATCTCTTGACGACTGTCAAGATCCCCAATCCTGCAGATGATGTCCAAGTCAAGTTCTTTTTAAACTACCTAGCTCAGCACATGGAAAGTTGTGGAGTCATATCTGGGCCTAACCAGAGCACTTTGCTGAAACAATATGAAAAGTTTGTTTTTGAGTTCCAGCAATCATTTGGTGAGCCTACAAAACAGGAAACAGACCCCCTGAACAAAGAGGACAACTCCTCTCAGCAGAATGCTTCTACTTTCAATCTTCTTGCTCAAAATCTGAGCTGTAATGAAACCAATCAGAGTGACCACTTCCAAGAGGGACTAGCTGACTCCATCCAGGATGAAGTGAGTGACACAGATATGATGGACAACCTTCCAGACCTGATCACTCAGTGTATTCAGTTGGACAAGAAACGTAGTGACAGGCCAGAGCTCCTACAGTCAGAGACGCAGCTCCCAGTGTTGGCTTCCCTGATCCAACACCAACCCTTTTCCAGCCCCACAGATGTATCAGCCAAGGAAGAGCCTATACAGTTGCGTGGAAGCCAGCCACCTCTCACCCCAGCCAAACGAGCCCGCCAGCAAGAAGCTCAGCTGTGCCTCTACTGCAGCCAGGCTGGTCACTTCACAAGAGATTGCCTTGCCAAACGTTCTCGGGCCCCAGCAAGGATAAATAACCCAACTCGCCAGTAAGAGAGCCCAGGCAGGTCACTTTGTAAACTTATATCCCTCTCACCTCCAGCCTTATTAATTTATATCCTGCATTAACATTTCAAATACAGGTGGGGAACTGTGATACCACTTCATAGACAGTCATGAACTTATGTGATTCTGGGAGTTTAAATAATCAGATCTTGTTCATTTGGTGACCCATCACCAAACCAACCCAAACCCAACAATGATGAAAACAATTTGCAGGCACTCTCTGCATTTGGAACCAATAACCCAAGAGTACTGAAACTCTGTAGGCAAAACTGGCCAGTCTAAGCCAATGAAAATATCCCTGAAAGTACCCTGGGAACTCCATTCCCTCCAGTGAATGAGATCTGGGTTGAGTTTGTTGGCCTAAGTCTTCTGGGACTAAGATTAGGCCCAAGACTTTCACCTTCACCCTCATTGGTCTATATTCTAGTTCCCTGTTGGTTTAAGACCTTCAGTTGAATTCCTAATTGCATCCCATATCCTACCAACATTTTTCTTTTCTTTTTTTTTTTCATATCCTACCAACATTTTTCTACTGGAGGCTGGAACCTGCTCCACCTATTGAAAAGAGGCCAGCTTCAACACAAACCAACCCTTATGGAAACACAGCTCTACTACCTTTCAATACAGCCATGTATTTTGTTGCCATTTAAAGACTTCTGCTTACCCAAAAAACTGGATCTCTTGGCTATTGACTAACCAGATGGCATGGCCTTTTGAACACTCTGATTGGAACTGTTGGTCCACTTCCTTGAGAACTAGCCTTTCAGGCAGGTACATGTTTTAGTAAGGCCCTATTAATTCCAGATTCCTCCCCTCTTCCTCAATAACCTTTTTTAGGTTATAGTATGTCCAATAGCCAAGTCAAAATGGCCTAGGATAATGACCTCTGACAAATATTTAGTGAGAGTTGGGGAAGGAGTCTTATCATAATTACTATGTCTATTATACCTGGCAGGTAAGGGAACCTAGCTAAATAAATCTCCCCTAAAGACATAGAGTCAGACCCTGTAGTAGTTTCTGACTCCATAGGCCTTAGTGTGGTCACCATTTGGGATCATTGCCCAAATGTTGAGTTCTATACCCTTATGGACCACCTCTGGGGAGCCTCATCTAGTTGAGAATCTTGAAAAGCAATTAATGGTAGACAATTCTCTGAACGATCCCATATTAACACCATCTATACATAAAACTTAAGAAGAAGTGAGGGTTTGATTGCTAGTGTTGTGGTTTTAGCACACAGCAGCTCTGTGTATGGATTCCTAATGCTTCTGAACAAAAGTAGTGCCATGTTGGAGAGACACAATTTTCTAAAATGTTACAGATGTGCAGTGATAATTGATGTTTGCTGGTAATCATTAGTCCTCTGTTCCTTGCTTCTTGGTGCTGATGTATGTCCCCATAATGGATTTCGTGAAGAAAAATCAGTAATTCCTAGCAACCATCAAGACCTCTCAGAATATGAAGCGTCATTGTACTTTGGCCTTGTTCCTGAAGAATGATACTAACTTTGACAGTACTTAAACCCAGCTAAGGCCTTACTGTTTTCATCCTGTAGCACTAACAAATAGATCGTTTTGTCCATCAATGCCTCGCTAACCACCGTGCCAATCCTTATTTGCATTCACAAGAGGTTTCCTTTATCAACAGTTTGCTATACATCCACCTTACTCCATATGCTCTCATAACAAGGAGACCAGTTGTGCCAAGAAATTCCCATGTGGTACTGGGCTTGTATGAAAGCCTCTGACAAATAGATCTTTTCGAACTTTAAGTGTCTTGCAATTGCCTGGAGGTATCCTGATCTAGCACCACCAGTTCTGTAATAAAGAACTAACCCAATAGCCTCCAGTCACTTTCCTTACTGACCCCAGTATGGCCCCAGAATGCTGATGGTAGCATTCAGTTTGCTTCATCACAATCTTTCTTTATATTAGGGATACAATTTGTCATTGTGTGCTCTCTCACAAAGATGCATCACCTTATTTCTTGTTTGGACCTTCCCTCTGCAGCGACATCACCTTCTTCTCCAAAAAATCTTCAGTTTTCAGAGCCTCTCAGAACAGATCATTAATTCTGGGCTCTAAAACCTCTAATTTCTAGAAGCCCCTTGTTGAGGAATTCTCAGACAAGAAATTCTTATGCTCTATGTGATACAATCCAACAGGCATACTGAGCATATGAATAAGATACTGGGATAATGCTTTACTGTCTACTAGCTAGCAACCATTTTATTTACCCCTTCAATATTTTGTTATAATGACACCATTCACTTCAACTAGAATAAACTCTTTATTTAGCATAAAGAGAGTTCTACAGACGTTTGCCCCCGAACTTATACCAAAGGGAACTTCTCTGAGAGTGCAACTAATTAAAATCTACTGAGAACACATGAGCTATAACCTACTTAAAGATGTAGTCTGCAACTACAAAGGCTTGGGGAGCCCCCAGGTCCAATCAAGATTGTAGTTTTAGGGAGGCAGATCTGCTACATGATTGCCATCCAGCAAGATAAAATCTAATGATTTTATGATAAGTCTGAAGAAAGAATGGTTAACAAGAGAATGGTCTTCAGGGAGTCTAGAAAAGGGGGGGATTAAAGAACCATATGGCATCTGTAATCTCTCTAGACTAAGAGAGGGGATATCGACCAAGAGCTGATTTCGTAGGTCTATGTACAGTGGAGCGGAGGTATCAGGCCATTCCGATTTGTGTAATTAGCCATTAAGGTTGCCACCTAACTCCCTTTGCTGTGACCCCATGCTCTAAGAAGTAATATGATTGTAATTATGTTCCCATATAAACTTTGTTGTGGGGAGAAAATTTGCTAGCCAGCTGACATGAGTATTATAGCCTACTTAGCAGTTAATTCTCATTATAAATAAATAAATTGGTTTTGGCTTATACATCATCTTTTTTGTGGGTTTTAATGGCATCAATCCTCCAGGTCCTAATCACTACTGAGCACATTGGAAAAAAAAATAAGATTCTCACTATGCAAAGTCAGCACCACAGTGTGAACCGTATTGAGTCCACTGAAGATTGTCCTCCCTGGGAGCTTTACATCAACAATCATCCTTCCTCTTTATCTCTCTCATTTTGTCTACAGCTGTAATAAAATTCCAAAATGCCTGTGGTTTTTAATTCCTGCAGTTACCTTCACTCACACCCAGAACCACGATACCTGCTATTAAGTAATTGCTTCTTACAATAATACACGGTTCAGTCTAACCATTAGAATATATCATCATGGATGAAGACCTAACACATAACTATAGACATGAGCCCCTTACAAGCACATACAGAGAGGCAGGAGTATATAATTGTCCTAACACTCACCATCTTTATTCTGTCCAGATAGCAACACATAGGACCCCTGCTGTCACTGCCTTTACCTCTATCCAGGATGGTAAAAGAGGTATCACCTTTTTCTGGACTCTGGAAGATCTTTTCCACCCAGCACTATCTATCCTATAACTACAATAGTCATTTTTTTAAACAAAATGGACCGCTTAGGATATACCAGCATCTTGGCAAAAATCTAACACCACACGTCCTTGGAAGAGCTCTGGGAGCTTATGTCACATCTGTAAAACTTTCTACATTGGTGGGTATGTTTCATTGCCTCCCTATGAAGCTTCAGGTCTCACTTGGCCAAGAGAATGGAAAAGACTTCAAGGGAGTATAGCATCATGGGTCCTCAGTATCATCTCCACGCAAGATTCACTGTGCACATTTTAAAAACAAAAGTTCCAGAAGTGAGTTACACCATTTAGTAGAGTCAGTAGAAATATCTTGGTACCTAGACCATGCTGTATAGTCATTGATTGCCACTATAACTTTGAGCATTTATGCACTAAATTCTTGGTATTACTTCCTGGTATTGGCTTTGATTCTTGGGTTTACTTGAAACTGCTTCCTGAACACTGATTTCTAGTACATATCTAACATGGTTCTAGTTCTCTCATTGGTCCAGTTCAGTGATAAGCAGGTTGTGACTGTATTCCACCAATCCCATTTGCTTCATAGTAACCTAGTGGAGAGTCATATAGAAATTCAGTTTTCCCTGTGCATGGAAGACTCATCCCTTTGGGCATAAAGTCTAGCTTTGTGTGCATCTGAAGAAAGGCAACTAATACTTGGTGAATGCCTACTTTATGCCAGGCTCTGTGCTGAGTGCATTAATTTGTAAATGATACTCAAGTTCACATTACTAAAAAATGAAATATCCATTTATGGCATTTAATGCTCACCACACCTTTGTAAAGTCAGTGTTATAAATTCAGTTTAAACGTAGTGGACCCTCATGTGTCCACCCACGTAAACCAGTAATTTATCCAGCAGGCCCTTTCCAAATTTTCTCTAACTCTACTCTGTCTTTAGTGAAGGACAATCATTACAAGTGTATGCAGAATTCCAGGTGTGGGCACAAAATAAATTTGAACAAGATAATATTTTTTTTGTTACTGATGCTTTCAAAAATGGCATCTGGGAATATACCTGGGTGGCTCAGTCAGTTAAGCCTCTGACTATTGGTTTCAGCTCAGGTCATGATCTCATGGGTTCGGTTTGTGAGTTAGAGCCCCATGTTGGGCTCTGTGCTGACAGCATGGAACCTGCTTGGGATTCTTTCTCTCCCTGTCTCTCTCTGCCCCTCCCCTGGTTGCTCTCTGTCTCTTTCTCTCTCTCAAAATACATAAATAACCTTTTAAACAAATAGCATCCAGTAATTCTGGGGCATTTTTGAGTTTCATCAGAATCTTGAGAGAAGAGTCATTGTGGACCCTTCCCTGAAAGATGCAATTCGCTTTCCTGAGTTGTATTGATGATACAAACCCCACTACTCTAAAACTTTAGTTGGAATGTTTTAATAAATGTGTATCCTTAAAACTACACTGAAGCTCATCTCTCTTCTCCCTCACAATGTTTTCCTATAGTTTTTCCTTATGGACATTCCTAATAATAATAAAAAGAGCTACCATTTACTGACT